AGAGAAAAAGAGAGACAACACCCACACATACATGCACCTAACCTATCTTCCAGCACCGCGAGAGAGGCGCTACCTTCGCACTTTAACCATTTTCTTCCCCACCATTGTGCTCTCTCTCTCTCTCTCTCTCTCTCTCTTTCTCTCTCATTTCTGCTCTAGCCCTGGCTCTAACTCTCTAACTCTCTAACTCTCTAACTCTCTAACTCTCTAGCTTTCCTTCTCTTTCTCTTTCTCTTTCTCTTTTGCATTCGCACGCGCGACATTGACGTTTTAACCGTTAACGCGTCCCCGATAGTCATGTCAATTTGAATCCACTAGTTCTAGTACCCTTAATATCAAGAGCAAAAACGTCAATTGACGAGCTCGAGGAAAATCGGGATCTGAATGAGCTTAGAACGAGAAAACGTATCGACACGGTGGCCTATTGGCACGACGCGATAGATCATTTTTTTTTTCTTTTTGTTTTCTTACTGAGAAAGAAGAAAATACGATGGACAGTTGATGTATGTATTAGAAGAGGGCAGTTAAAATGGGGGGGGGGGGATGAAATCATTGATTTATTTATGGTTTCATTGGATTCTCTGTTTCTTTCTTCCTTTCTTTTTTCTTTCTTTCAGTTTTGATTAAGATCGTCATTGATGGATTGAATCCTCGATGTCACTCGAACGTTTTGCAGTTGGTTGAAAAAGGTTAGGAAATTTATAAAGAAATAAAATAATTTGTAAGGAAAAAAAAAAAAGAAAAAAAAAAAAATAAAAGAAAGAAAGAAAAAGGGGTCACTAGAACCTTGACGATTCAATCGTTACTCTTTAAGGAAAAGTGAAGATGGCTGATACGGATAAGACGTTCACGTTAGAGGTAAGCATTTTACATTTACACGCGAAACCGAAAACGTTCAAGGATATGAAATATATATAACCCAAAAAGGAATGGGAGATTGAAATGACAAATGCAGAAAAGCAGTGAGTCAAGGACGGGAAAATCTCGGGAGAATGAATATTTAGAATCGTTGAAATCTTTTTCTTCTTATTCTTTCTCAATGTCCTTCTTTATCTTTATCTCTTTCTATCTTATTCTTTTTTGGAAAAAAAAAAAAGAAAAAAAAAAAAGATTTAAAACGATCGTAATAACCAATCGTTTAACGGAATAGAGACTCTCCTTCTCTCTGTCTTTTTTTTTAATTTATATCAAGAAAGAGATAGATTTATTATGTAATAAGGTATCTGATTCAAGATACGAATTCGAATTACGAGAACGTTTAAGAAAATGAAATTAAACTTACTATAGGATACTTGGTATAAACGAAATTAGATTATTTGATACGGCGGAAACGGAAAGACAAAGGTAAACCTGCCGCAGATTGTGAGTCATTGGTCCAAAAATAACGGCTATTCTAAGGTATACGACGCTGACGAAAAATGGGGTATAAGCGAGAAGAAAAATTCGCAAAGAAAAAGAAACAAAAAAAAAAAAAAAAGAAAGAAAAGAAAGAAAAAATAAATTATATATTCATTATTATGAATTCTATTAAAGATGAAGAAGATTCGGCTGCTCCTGGAGGACGACTTACCTCTTCTAATGGCATCTGAAAAGATCGTCGTCTTTTCTAAAACATCTTCATAACTTCCGTTCATTTTTTTGTTCCTTTTTTTATTTCTTTCATTCTTTCTTTTTTTTTTTTTCTTTTTTCCATCGAAAAAATCGCCTTACTTTTTTACGGCAAACCAACGCGAAATACAATCAAACGTCAATCCGTATTATTTCGAGAAAAATCCGTTAATTTTCTTTTTCTTTTTAAATTAATACCTATCATTTGTATTATTTCTTGAAATTTCGGATTATAAGAATGACGTATGACTTCCGATCGATAAATGTATCTCTATTGATATATATATATATATATATATATATATATATATATATATATATATATATTGATAATACTATTATATATATATTGATAATACCATTATAAGCTTCGATATATGATACAATGAAACAGTATGGAATATTGTGCATATTCTTATCAATGATGATCAGACAGTAACGTAGGAAACAATACGATAATATATATGACGACTTTGAATTAGATGCAGGAACAAGCATAAGTTCCAAGAGATTTTCAAATGAATGTTTTATTCGAATTCGTTCATTCGAAAAAAAAATAGGGTCGAGATGTTTCTTATTTTCTTTTTTTTTCAGGTTGCATTAGCGAAGTGCAGTTAAATATACCGCATTCGCATTTTAGTTACGTTCGATCGGTACAACCGTAAATCAATGGGATTGCGTTAAATATATTAATATATAATATGACATATTGGTCAAATATATTCGTTTAGGTTAGATAAAAATATGACTGCATATTAAGCATTGTTATATATATATATATATATATATATATATATATAACATATATATATATATATATATATATATAAATATATATATATATATATATATATATATATTTGTATACAAATAAAAATTTTAATAATCTCACCTTACTGATTATCGGCATCATTGCACGTAACATATTTACTTCCTGAAACAAATATATAAACTACGTTGGTAGTCTTGTTCCAATATGTATTGATTTTATATAAATGTACTTTTCCTTTATTTTTATGTAATATAATTGTCAATGTTTTCATTGATTCTCTAAGAAGATAAGAATCGGTAAAGCAAGTATTTCTTTGAAAGTTAATATTAGCCATAATGAAACTATTGGCAATCATCAGCATTTGGCTATCCATATTAAACATCTAGCAACTATTTTCAAACATAATGAGTTAGAAATCAAGAATCCAAGTAAGTTCTGGCTGTGCCTACGAATAGCATACAAGCAAATACATTTCATTAAAAGATCACAAGGAAATGTTTCAATGTTATAAAGGAATCATATAAGAAGATTGATTTAGACCATTTATATATGATTATTATATCACATATTCTACTAAAAATCTTTCAACATTTATAGTCGAAAAAATATAAAAAAAGATTACACACACACACACACACAAACACACGTACATGCACAAAATAAAAAAGTTAAAAAAATAAATAAATAAAAAAGGAATAAAATGATAAAATGAATCACTGTGATATTACATTATTGAACTTCCTCGCAAGAATGCATAAAATAAAGCCTCTACCAATTTGATAAGATTATACTTGTAACAGGAAACGTTTCATGATTAGGTCTTATCGATTCAATTAAATACAATCAAAGAAAAAAAGCTTATTAAGATTAAATAAAAAGACAACAGAAAAGAAAAAAGAAATTGAACAATAATGAAAAAAAAATATATATATATATTCTATATGAACTTACAGACAAAATGAGGTCACGTTCAAAGAGACGACAAGGGCGCTTTTGAATAGGTCGTTGTTATTGGTACATCGTAGACCGCATGGCCGGTAAACGTCAAACGTTTTACGTTACGTTAGGTATTACCGCCGCCTCCGCTACCGCCACCATTATCGCAACCGCCACCACCATCGTTTCCATCACCGTCTCCACCTTCTCCGTCATCACTGTAGTAGTAGTCGTCGTCGTCATCACCACCACCGCCATCTCCTCCGTCATCGTTATTGCGTCGTCGAGCTTTATTTTTTGTCTTCATGTTTAAGTACACGCGCGAGACACTCACTCTCGACCTTCTTCCGAAATAAGACCGAAAGAATTCGACGATTCACAGAGGTGGTTTTATTTCTCTTCGAAATGATTTCTTTTCGTATACCCAAATTCATAGCAAAAATTGTCTCACGCAATTTTCTCGAAACACGCCCGTACTTTTTATTTTATTTATTGCATATATCGCACATAGTATATATAGGATATTCGTACATTCTCTATCTTTCTCTTTTTCCTTACATACATATACGTTCACACATAACAACATACAATATACATACATACATACATACATCATACATACGCTCGCATATTCTCTCTCTCTTTCACACTCATCCCCTACCCCTGCCGCTCCCTTGCTTCCCTTCTCGCCTAGCGCATTATCACGCAGCACTATACGCGCGCGCACTCTTCCGCTTTTACTTTTCGATGGAATTCTATCTATGGAAATAATATTTGTACTCGTATACCTTCTGATTTTCAACGCGTTAATAAATATCAATGCGCCGACTAACCTCTTTACTTTCGCGTCAGACTAAACGTACGAGCGAATTTTAAAGTTCTTCGACCGAACGATTCTCACGTACAATGATTTTCTGACATCGGACAATTAATCAGATGAAAAATTAGGGATGAAAATAGATCGTAAATACGTCTTACTAACCTATGCCTCGCACGTCAATCTGTCGTCACAATTATCAAACGAATTCAAAACATTTCCGCGATACTAGCTTCTGCAGACATCACGACGATAGCCATATTGAAATCCCATTCCGCGGAACATCGACGAAGCATTTAAACTAGAAATCGAATCGTATTGGCTGATAGGTGCATGGCGCTTGGAATAACAGCGAACTCTGTGAAACGATCGAGATACTAAAATTATAACGCCATATTGTAAAATAATTAAACGAGAATTTATAAAATATCGGAACGAACGATCGAAGTAATTGAAGTTTATTGCATAATTAAATTTGCTTTGTACTATTTTATTGTAACTTTAATAAAAAATAAATTATAATTTACATCCAATACTGATGATCTATATGGTGTACAAAACTATTATTACATAAAAAATAATATACGTGATACAGAAACAATACATTTATTCATAAAAAAATAGAGAGATAGAGAATCGTAAATGTTTTAAATAAATAATTTCTATGAGTATCTTTTACACAATAATACTTATAATTTATATATATAACAATAGAAATATAATCAACATATTTGAGAATTATTATATACTTTGATTTCTTTCGTTATTTTATTAACGTTCTATATATTTAATTATTGTTATTTTGACATAAATCTGGATTGCATTGACACTTATTAAATATACAATTATTTTTGCGACACGAACATTTTTTATAAGCGGTCTAATATGCACAGCTACACGAATTATGTCTTCAATTATTTTCATAAATGTACCTTCTTTTTGTTTTTTATATGATCTTTTAGTAAACTTTCACTTTACACCTTGATTTTCTAAATAAAATCCTTTTTTTAAGAGAAAATATTGTTAGATACTTACAGTTACACGTTTGATATTAGAAAATCAAACACGCACCAATTAAACTAGGCTATCCAACATCATTTAAAAAAAAAAAAAAAAAAATTTCGCTGCGCTCCTATAGAGGCGCTGATATTTATCATACGTTCTGGACTGTGTCCTGAAAACACATCTAGCATATACTCATAGGAAAAGGAAAATCAACAACTATAATATAAAATTTATATAACAGAAAATTTAATTTTTATTAAAATAAGTAATTTTCTATTTTTAGAATAATATCGTGACATTCTATATAATCTAGATAAAAATGAAAGAAATAGTGACGTATAATCTTTCTAGTATCTGAAAGATGTCGCTATTGTTGCGTTACCAACTTTAACCGTTGTGCACGTTTCTTCTAGCGTTACCACATACATTGAAATTTTTTGGAAATTCTTTAACAGTATAACTTTTGTTTACGTTAGGAGAAAATTGTTTTAAGTTCGTTCTATTATCCATCAGTTCAGATATTGGATTTCGTTATATGGTATAAAAATGTCTTCTGAAGATGAAAATGACGAATTAACAGATTTAGAAAAAATACGCGATAGAATGTTAAGTCAACCGCGTTGTGATCGTATGCAAGTTAGTGCTTGGGAAGACGACGATGATGGAGTAGAAGTTGAGCGCAATGCAAAAGGTTAGAAAATTTGTTTTTTGGAAAAATTTGAATATTATTTATAATTTTATTTGATAATTCGCGATTATTTTGTTTCGTAATTACTTACTTGCTGAATATAATTCAATAAGTTGATTCAATGAGATTGTTCATTTATTGATTTCAGAGCCGGATGAAAAAGCGATTTTAAGTGCTGCTGAAAATGGTGATATAGAAAAAATTAGAAAATTATTGATTAAAAATCTCAACTTATTGGAATGCACGGATAAAGATGGATATACACCTCTTCATAGAGCATGTTATGGAAATCATGTGGAAATTGTTGAGGTATAATATTTATATAATCTATAATTTGTATTTTAATTGATTAATTAATTGATTTTGAAACCCATATTTAAATGAATGCCATGTTAACTAATAGTTTCTTTATTTTATTTATTATTAGTATTTGCTTAAAATGGGAGCGAAAATAGATACAAAGACTATGGACGAGTGGCAACCATTACATTCTGCTTGTTGTTGGAATAATGTAGAATGTGCTGCCATTCTAATTGCTAATGGAGCAGATGTAAATGCAAAAAGTAAAGGAGATCAAACTCCTTTACATTTAGTATCAGCAAGTTCTCATAATTCTCCTGCTTTACAACTTCTTCTTTTAAATCCTGATGTAGATCACTTGATAATAAATTCAAGTGGTGATACACCAGAGCAAGTTGCTAGAAGAACTGGTAAATATTATCCTATGTTTGAAATAATTGAACCTTGTTTAAATGAAATTTAAAATGAATTTTTATATATATATATATATATATATATATATATATTTATATATATTTATATTATTATAAATTTATTAAGAATTTATGTACACATGTATAAAATTCATAACTATAAATATTAATATAAATGTTACAATTTTAGTATATATAAATGTAAATCATTTTAAAAATGAAAAAAAAATAGTATGTAAATTCTAATTCTTTAACTTCTAATTTGTTATGATTTTTTATTTTTTGTACATACATTATAACTTGAGATAATTACATTTCTAATCATCGATAAAACAATGCGCTAAATGCTAATAGATTAACTATATGATAATATCAACATGAATATTCATTCATAAATGTGTAATTAAAAAGATACATGATTTTTTCTAGCCTTAATATAAATGTATAAAAATATATTTCGTAATTATTTATTTATCACTAAAATTATTGAGTATCATTTATAAAACATTTTGTAGAATAATACTTTAGTATATTGTTCATTCTCTTCAAATGTCTTTGATTATATATAAGATATAACATTATTCAAAATAGATGAATGTTTTAAAATACTCGATGTTCTTTCATACTGTAAATAATACACCTGAAATACTTTGCAATGTTGAATAATCATTAATTGTAGGCACTTAATTTTTTTACATTAATAATGATTATTCACGATGAAATAACATCAATTATATGTACTATTAAAAGTAAAAAATTTATTCGTAAGATTATTTGTAAGATTACATTTATATATATATATATATTTTACTTATTTCAAAGTGATGTTAAATTTACAAATTTCGGAGTTCCATTGCTCAAGCGTTTTGAACCTTCCCATATCAAAACTGTACAATCTTCTGTAGCTGCATATAAATGATGCTGGTCCAAAGCCCAAACTATGGCAATTATAGCTCCACATCCTTTTGCAGTATTTATAATTTCTCGAACTAATCGTAAGTCCCAACTACTCCATAATCTAGATATATAAACGATTAAAATATTTTTCCAACATATAATTATAGAATACGTTAATATGATATACCTTATTACTCCATTATCCAATCCAGTTGCAACGACGTTAACAGAAACTCCTTCAGGTGCATTACTATAACATAGAGCTGTTATTCGAGATTTAGATAAAACAGAACCTACGCTTCTGGCATTTATAGTATAAACTCGTAATTCAGATCGAACTGCCAAGTCCTTTTTGTCAGCCTTATTAAATATTTCATATGTTACTGCTATATCTCCAAGCGTTTCACTGATGGATAATAGATGGATGGAATATTTGTAATCACAGACAATTGATCTTATATATGATAAACTGTAATAACAAATAATTGAATTATTCTACTATTGTTAAATCCTTTTATTACATGCATTTAATCAGAATACATACCTATTTAAATCCCAAATAACAATAACACCATTTCCATCTCCAGAAACTGCAATACTAAATACCCTTGACAACGAAATTGCAGTTACTCTATTTCTATGAGCTAAAAGTACAGAGGCTGGAATCGAGCTAAATTCTATTTTTCCGCTAGTTCCAATATTATATGTGTGCACTGTTATTTTACCAGATAAATAACCAGTCCATAATTGGCCACAATCGGGAGCAGATGCTAAGATTGTGATCTGAAAGAACATAAATACTTAAATAAATTTAACTTAAAAGATTATCCTTCTTTGATGTACTTACAGGATCAAGACCAGAAGATTTCGTTAATGGTTTAGGAGGTTGTTCTTTTTTACATTTCAGTCTTGCTATTCCATCATTTCCACCCCATGATGCTAATGCAGCACCAAGAACAGACATTCCACTAAACATACTAGTACCTACAAATATAATAATGTTGTTAATACGAAAATTATTACGACTTTTAAAAGTACAAATCATAACAATTATTATCTGACCTTTTTCTTTAGCATATCCTATCAGAAGTGTTGTACAATTAGGTAATCCAAAAACATCGCCTGTTGCTAAAGGAATAAGATAAGATAATAAAGTTCTGTGTTTATGTTTCCAGCAAAGTACAGGCTCATTTCCTGGTGCTCCTACATAATTTCCCCATTTTATACCTACAAAAGTAAATAAAACAGATAAACATAACAGTTTTATTATTAAAATAAAATGATTAATATAAATAAAATTACCTTCAACACCTTCGATAACTTGTGGTATCAAGGTAGAAGCCACTACTGTACCAAGATTTTGAATAGGTAATGGATGTGAATTTCTAAATAACTGTGCTGGTGTTTGTCCATATGTCCTAACCATTGTTTCCCATGCTTGACGTTCTAAAGGATCGGCTATTTGTTCTACATTAAATCCATAATATGTCTATCCAATATAAAACATAATGGTTATATGATTAAAATTTGTAATTATTTGATATTATTTATTTTTATTAACATAACTCACCGCTGGATGAAAAACGTTAATTGCTTCGACTGCTGGTCGTCCTGTTTGTCTAAAACCAAACACGAGATCAATCCAGTACGGTAAAACTTCTCTTACTAAGTCTGCTTCGAGTGCAGCTCTATGCGCTAATATGAATAACCGAGCATCGCCACCACACCATTTAGGTAATTCGACATCGCCGACTCTGTTACCATTTTGTCGTACACCAAAATTGAATCCTATAAAATTATAACATTGTATTGAATAAAAATACTAACATAAATGATTCGTAATTTCTTTACCTTCGAAGTTTAATAAAAATTCTGGTAGATAGAAAAATTCTGGTATTAATTCTTTAACATCAGTGGTTGAATCGCAACTAGTTAATCTCCATGTAGTTGCCAATGCATGAAATGTTCTATCAGGAATGTCAAAGTTATCATCTATCAAAAAAATTTTTAATTATTATTCAATAATTTTGAATTATTATGTATGTGATTTATAAAATACCTTGATAACATAAAAACATGCTGGTAAAGGGCGGTAGTCTTACTAAAAAGTGTAAAACTGTGCCTGAGTTACTATAATGAGATCCATAATGGAATGGCTCTTGATTCAAAGCAATTAAATTTAAGCCTTCCGACAGAGCTTGTTTTAGATACTAAAAGAAACATTTAATTAATATATTTACATCATTTTATTATTATAATATATATATATTTAATTAAATACTTACATTATAATTATTTATATAATGTTGTTCATTCTTTTTATCTTGCACAGCCATAGGTCGTTTAAAATTTCTGTAAAAATGTTTATTTATTATCGAATTATTTATCATTATTTTTCCAACCAAGATTGAAATCTATATTTATAACTTGCCGATAAATTTTTGGATTATTTAGATCAATTTTATCATTAATATAATCTGATAACACGAATGGAAATACAGGATATTGCATGAGATCATTGTAAGAACGTCCAGCAAGTTTATTTAAACAAGTTATATATTCCCAATTTGTTAATGCGCCACTTCTCCATAATGCAATTGCTTCTCCTAAATCATCACCAGGAATACGTCTTGGTAAATTACAAGTAGATAATTCTGTTGCAAATTCATCTCTTTCCTGCAAAATATTAATTTTAGTTCCAAATATCAATTTACTCAGAATATTTTAATAAATAAATACCTTGGAAGAATTAAATGCTAATAAATAGGTTCTCCCAGTGATAAGAAATATTTCAATAGCTCTTTCTTGTAATTGGTATCTTCTTTTATGTAATTCACGAATATCTTCTAATCGCCAGGCTGTACCACCAGCCATGGCTAAATCCAAACCTCCTAAGGCTATCTAAAATAAATATTTAAATTATACAAATGATAATGCATTTTTTTTTGAGACAAAATTTTGTACTCACATCTGTATGCAATGGTACGTCAGGATTATCAGGAACGAAATAGAGACACGTTTCTCCAATTAATACTTCGCCTGCTAATTCTGCTCTTGGAGTAACAACTTTGGCTTGAGACATTTTACGTATTCTTTCACTGGTATGTAAACGCTCGATTAAAGTTGACGCATTAATATCTTGCCGGCTCATTGAAAATAAATATGACAAAGGTGCTTCGATTTTAGATACTCCTATAAATATTATTAAAAATAAAATTATTAAAATAGATAGATTGAAAGGTATATAATTTAAAAATAAATAGTTTTTATATATTTGATAAACAAACCTAATTTGTCCTTATGTTCTGCCAAAAAAAATCTTTCATCGATATCCAAATGACATCTTTGTAAGCGAATTCGAACTCTGGCAGGTCCTTCTGTTGGATCTAATTCCCAACTACATGGATAACTTTCTGGAAAATGCCACAGTGCTCTTTCATGCGTTAGTCGTTTAGCCAAATCTCTCCATTTTTCGACCGACTGAGCTTCCATGGCTCTTGCGTGTTTTAATCGTTCCATTAATACTTTGCGTTCTCGATTTTGCTCTTCTACTACAGTACGAGTTATAGTCATCGCGCTGTCAGTTAACTGTTTAGCTAATCCATCAAATCTATTACTGATTCTAACATATAAAACGATTTAAAAAATCAATCCAAATCCAAATTGCAAAAAAGTATAAAAATAATATAATCAAGTACCTATATATTGCTGGAAGATTTGCATCAATCCATATATCTCTGTCCCTCATTAATTCACGTCGTAATAAAGCTAATTCTTCATTCCATATTCCTGGAGATGCTTGTTCAATACTTTTTGCAAGATCCCATATACGAAGAGCTTCTCTAAATTCAGCACACATTCTAGCATCCGCACTCGACATTTCATCTCTTTGTAATAAATCCCAAAAGAAGACAGTGAATCTTTGTTCTACCTAATATTTATTAAATATGTAATATTAAATAGATATTTTTATCTTTTACTTGTAGATTTTAATTTATGAATTAATACGTTGTATTACCTGCGGATGGACCTCAAGAAGTGATAACAAAATTTCATGAGCCTTTGGTTCTTCCATTAAAGATCTTACTGCATAAATTCTAGTATTACTACTTTGATGTGGCCCAAGTAACCATACCATAAGTTTTGCTGTATATTTTCTTAAAGCAGGTTTAGTAAACCATGCACTACTCCAATGATTTTTTCTTTCTAATGGATCGCATAATCCATGTAAAAGAATCGAAAATAATCGTCTGGTTAATTGTAATTCATTCCCTGATGGTGACTCATCGGCAGCAGTTACAAATTCAACAGCTCGAGTCAAAACCATACGGAAACGATCGTACAATTCTCCCTTTCCTGTTTCTCTTACGACAGAAATAGAAGTTCCATGTAAACTTCCATAACTGGACGATCGAGAACCATGATCGCTCTGTTCGCTCGATGTAGTAAGAACTAAAATAAATATGTACAAATACATAATTTTTTGTTAACGTATAAATAAAGTTAACTAAACCTAAAAATTATATATAAATATTAACCTGTTGTTAAATAAGATGCCGAAGCAAGATAAGAAGCTGTACTACGTAATCTAAATCCAGAATGTGTTGAAATTTTTGCTGTTAATGCATCAAGTTCACCATCAAATAGTGCAACTTGTGCATCTCTGATAACAGGTATACACATAGTGCATTTGTTACATTCAGACATTTCCTTAAGTTCCATATGATTTAATATAAGATGTAATTCTAATACAGCTTGCATTTGATGATTTCCTGGAGATTCTAATAACTTAGTAGCAATTGCCACAAGTAATACATGGATGTCATGGTTCAATGATGTTGAGTTACCTTTATGTGCTGTAGCAACTAAGGCTTGCACCAAGCATTCTATAAGGCCTTGCTCTAAGATCATTCTTAAAGCATTTGAATTCTATAACAGATTAATATATTCTTTTTAAATATATTTAAATTCGCAATGAAATGAAATATATTTTTATTTAATTATATATGCTATACCTTTGCTATAATATCTGTTATAAATGATATTATAGGATGTGCTATATTCGATTCTATAGCAGCAGTTTTTGCGATCATTGCCATTAATGGTGGCATTGCTGCTAATGTTGGTCCTCTTAAAGCAAGATTTTCTAAAGCATTAATGAGAGACTCACTTCCTGGATAAAGCGATATTTGGTTTGCTAAATGCAAAAAATATTTTTGCTTTATAAACTTATTCACTTCTTCATCGCTAGCTCGTTGGAGGTACGTTTGTATAACCTTTATTAATGCTGTACGAACTCTTGCGTCAGGATTATTAGCTAGGACTAACAAAACCTCTGCACGTAAGACATGTTTCAATACAGGGCCAACTTGACTATCAGGTAATACTCTTATAGCATCTCTTAACAATAATAATAAACCTTCACAGACTAGACCTTGACAAGCTTTTCTTTCATCTATGTATGTCGATTGTTTTTCCTGAAAATAATTATCAGAATATTTAAATCGTTGTTAAACGATCTATTGATATCGATTATTTCAATTATTTTATATATTACATTAGTTTGTAAATTTGAGCCATCACTAGCTGCAATTCCAGAGTCTTCTCCAGCACTAGTATCTTTAGATTGATCATTTCTACGTTCTTTCCTTTTAATTGTTTTACTTTTTTGTATCTATAATAATAGAAAAAAAGCCAGGAGAATATTTTATTAAAATTCTTGATCATTTGCATCATCTCTTTGCTATGTCTATATTCAGAATTGTATACATTTATTTAAATTACCTGTACATTTGTTAAAGCTTTGTTCAACTTGCTATTCTCCAATATTCCTATAGATTCTTCGGAAGAACTACTTGTTACTGTTAAATATTTTCGGATATTAACTTTTCCTTCAGTCAAAGGAGGTAACAAAAAATAAATATTATGTTTAGAATGTGTTATATAAGTCTCTGAAGCTTGATGAACAAGAACTAAGTAATCAGTGATAGCAACTAAGTGTTCAAATTCTGGTGGAGCTCCCATTAGTGCTCGGATTAATTCTACCACTACACTTCCTATGGAAGGTTCTAATATTGCACCTAAATCTTCATACATGAAATGTTCCTGTATATATAAAAAATTATATATATATATATATCATTACTTAACGTTTATACCATAAAAATGTTTAGAATCAATTAACTGACCTTGCACAGCATTAATATAGTATCCACAATTCCAACTCTATTTAATTGAAAGGCATTGAATTCACGCTGAGAATGTTGATCCCTTAACAAAAGTAATATTGCTTGTAACAATAAATTTAATGTGTCTGATTTTGCCCATGTTCTCCAAGCAGTTAAAGCACCTTTCACGAGTTCAGGATCAGTAATCACAGCTTCACAATTTTGTGAAATGGAAGGATTACCGCTACCGATATCTTTGATCAGTATTGAACTATCACAAGCTGCATCTAACATTGCTTTTAACATATGTCTACCTGCGTGGCAGTGTGGTGATTCTAAAACTCGTAAAAGTAATGATGTACCGCCTTCGGCACGATATTGATTTAATAATTCTGAATCGCTTCGTGTTAAATGTAGGACTATTGAAAACGCTAATGCTTGCTCCTCTTCGGTAGAATTCAACTCTACTACCTACGTGAAATATAAATAAAGACAATCCAACAAATGTTTGGAAAAATAACACCAAATACATTTAAACGAGTTAACAAAAATGTATACTTACTCTTGCAAAAAGAAATAGAAATATTGGAACACCACCCATTAAACTTGCTGCGGGTATAAGACCTCTATATTGTTGGCATTCTAAACAAGTTGTCAAAATAGGTGCTATTGATAATGGTGGCTGTTGAGATACTCTATGTTCAGGAGCAGATACGACTCTAAATCCAGGGTGACCAGGAAACAAGTTTCTTACAACTGCTATAAATAAATATAAGACATTTAAACAAAATATAAAAAGATATTTTCTTATATAATACATTTTATTTTTATAGATTGTCACGACTATATCCTTAGCACTATTCGTTATTTAAAAAAATTTTTTAGAAGCAGAACTTACTTTGTTTCAAGAAGAATGAGATTCATGTTTACGACCGAATTGATGAAGTATTCAAATAAACCAAATATTGATATAACGAAGATAAGTTTTGAATGATAATAAATAACCTTGAATGAGCAATATATTATATAGGTCGATGAATTCGTTATAGAATTGGTTACACATTTATCTAAATAATAATTTATAGTTATATTTAACGACAAAAAGTAACATTAACATCAAAGATTTCCTTGAAATTTCAGAAACAATCACGTCCATTTAGACAAGATTTGTGACCATCATAAAATTATCCCCTCTTGAAAAAGAATAAATTCTGCTTAAATCATTTTTTTGAATAACGAATAGTACGGAAGGTAAAACTTCTAATAGAATAATCTGTATACATATATAATAATATATTTACCAGGATTAGCTATAGCTTGAGGATACAAATGAACGATGTTAGGATTTTGAGCTTCATAACTTAAAAGCAAAGCATCTTGCAACTCTCCTAATTGTGAGTTGGTAGCATCCATGACTGATTCCCAATCAATTTTATTTTCTAATACTTTCGTTTCAACTGCACGTCTTAAATAGGTACCACCATAAGACTTTCGTCTACTCGTATCGAATTTACCTCCTTCTATATTAATAAGAATTATTAATTATTCTAGCTATAATAGTAAATAATCTTTTTGTAATTGAAACACTATAAAATATTATAAATAAACTAACCAAATTTTACTTCACGAACATCATTTAATGCTCCGGATGTAATTAAAGGTGCAAAATCAGGCTTTGCCATATTTAAAATACAATCTGCAAGATTCGTAAAATTTGGTCCGAGACTGGCAAGATATAAAGCTCTTTCTTTGGTAAAAACTGGATATCTGAGTATAACATTTGTACGTTAAAATTTTAATAATGTATTATATTATAAAAGCAAATAAATATTTACCTAAAAACCATTAAATTCCCGAGATACCAAGCACCAATACTGGTTGATCCGATCTGACCGAGTAAAATACATGTAGTGCCTGGTTTTCTTACTAAAATGCCATCAAAGGGTAATTGGGCATTAATTTCTTTCCAACCATCTATCCAAATAACAACATCTATGACAGCACTACGTTTATTCAAAATTGTATCTTTGAAATTTATAACTAAGTGCTGCCAACGTCCTGAAGGAAGGATGCCACTTATGGAAGTCTCAGAAACGGTTCGATTTGTTTTATCGTCTGGCCGAGTTAATCGCAAAATTAACTTATCTGAAAAAAGAAAAGAAAATAAATTATAAAAGCTGAAAAATAACATAATAGTCAATAAGTGTAATTTACCTGATCTAAAATCAAGCCATATTTCTAATACCAAATATTCCATTCCAATTGACATCAAATGTATAATGCTAGCTGGTGTGGGTGGTGATGATGAACCTGCTACTGCTGGTGTTCCCAAGAAAAGATCAAATGTTTTTCGGCCTTTTCAAGATGATTTTGAAAATGCATGCAACAACATACTCAACTTACTACTATATCACATGCCACAGCTCTACATTAAAAATAACACACCTACACCATTTAAATATACAATTAATATACATGTAGTATTTTACCAACCTTCTCTACTCCAATTATCTGAAAGGATACCCCAATCAGACAGGCTTTCGCTATTGGTATTAAGTAATGGTGCTGTGCTCATAATCGTTCCTCTATTATTAAAAGGAAATCCTCTTTCCACTCGTAACCACATGGAAGCAGAACAACCAAGCAACCATACTGACCACGTAAGTTCAGGACCAACTGGCAAACATGTTGCATGTACAGACCAGGGGCTACAAATTCCCATACTTAAATGTTTCTTTTTAAAATTATTTACTAAACTTTCAGCTTTTTCAAGAGATTTATTTTCATCTGGTTGAGATTTCAGTATCTTTTGTGTATCACATTCGACAGGAAACGATAGGATAAAATTCGGTTGGGGTCGAGCTGTTATAACCAGATGATACAATGGTTCTAATAGTAAAGACATTGGAGGTTTTTTAACTTTGAAAAAAGATAAATATGTGTCTAATTCCGTGGATGAAATTGCTTGTGTTGCAAGAAGAGTGAATACTTCTAATGCAGCATGTTGCAAATCTGAAATGCGCACATATATATAATTATTTTAAATTATGTTTTTTAACCCTTTGAATGTTATATGTGCGTATATATGCGTTTAGCGAAAGCGATCGCTATGGATTATGGAAGCATATATGCGTCCATATATCAATTTTTTCAATGTTTTCGATCTCACTCGCGTTTGAGATAATTTCAAACTAAGATATGGTTTACATTTTAATGTTTTGAATAAAATAATTAATTAATGCTTGTATTATTTAAGTAGTTGCGCCTTGCGTATTCAATCGATCGAAACGATCGAAAGCATTTACGCGGATTGATTGCGCCAGAAGAATTCAGCAAGGGTTAAACAAAATTCTTCAAAAAAGTGAAAATGTACCTTGATACTGAGTATCATTGCTAGTGAATATGTCCTTGAATCCATTTAACATTTTTGTAATTACACCAGATCCCGCAAGAGCAGCGCAACTTGAAACGCTTTCTCTGCACGTAATTGCTAATTTTCTTAATCCATTAGTCACTATAGATCTTCTTTCAGCATCTAAATCTCTACAAATAATAATTCATTTACAGAAAACGATTCAAAAGGTATGTCTGAACTTTCATTCAAATTTAATCGAATTCATATATACTCACTGCTTACTGAAATGAATAAGCAAATCTATTGCTAATGTACATAAAGCTGGATGTGCATTTGCATGACCTCGTGGTTCAACAACTGGTCCTATAGAGCCACTCTTTTTTGTTACATTAGAATGACAACTTTTTCCTGGTATTTCAATATCTGCTTCATAACCATCATCAGCAGTTACATATTCTCCGGTGCTACTATCTTCAGCACCACAATCTGGCAAAGTATCCAAATTCATAGTAGGTAACTAAAGCATAAATGACATTTATTTTTTAAATAAATGTTTGCCTAGCAATTATCAAAGAATTAAATTTGTATTAATCATTAAAACTTACTCTAGCACGAGGCTGTTGTGGAATAGTTTGTTCATGAGCAGGTTTTAACATGGAAACTTTAAGCAAAGCTTCAATAATGGTTGCTATTCCATGACCAAGTCTAACTCCCGTTTGCATTAATACTTTTCTCAACTCCATCGCTACGTCACAGCCACCTGATACCATGTAATTTATTATATATAATGTTAATAACAAAATTCTTAATTTACAATAATTAAAAAATAGTTCAAATATAACGAATGAAATTACAAATATTGCTCAACGATCTATTTGTGATAACGTGGTTTCAAGAATAATGTTTATCAGTAAGGCATGAACCCTAAACTGTTTTCACGCCAAACAATTTTATAAAGCATCTGAATTATAATCCGCAGCTGTATGTTGCCGAAGAATGCCAGATCAAATTATACAACGTACGTATGATGATTCATCTAACTTATATAAAGATAAAAATATACTTACACAACGAGCATGTTAAGCAGCAAGTAATTAAAGCTTCAAACAGCTTATACGCTGATTTATTAGTATCTGAAAGTAAAAGTATATCTAAGAAATTAGTAGTAAGATTTTTTTTCAAACTTACCATGTATGTTATCAGTAGCAACATTAATAGCTAATGATCTAAATAATTTTAAAGCTTCATTAGCTATTGGATGTGAAGATAGTTCTAGACGAAAATTAGGACTGCATAATGCGACTCCAGCTGTGGCTCTCCATACTGCACTTGCTTTCTGTAAATTAATTTCTTTACCAGTGATTATTGACGTTATGTCCGATGTTTCTAATATAATCATCGTTTCTGAATTATTTTTTAACTTTGATTGAACATTTTCATTTATGCAAGATTGATTATCCATTTCAAGAACTTCAAGAGAAGAGTTTTTCGATTGTACAATTATTTCTATTTCTTCACTTTCCACATTTACTTTTGTAGGTCCATAAGCATTTTCATTTTCCCATGATTTTTCTGGATTTTCCTTTAATTGGTTTTTTTCAAGTTCCTCTAATATGTTCAACAAATCGCTCGTCTCATTTTCGAGAAATTTAAACAAAGATTTCAATGCTATCTCTTCGGTTTCTCCGAGAGTATCAGCTTCATGGCAATTCGAATTCCAAATTTCCATGATCACCGCCACTTCTAGAAGAATATAAACACTTCTAGTAAACGTTACATCCGGTAATAAAACCAATACTTCTTTTAATCCATCCATCTCTATAAATTTTTCCCACATTTGTATGTTTCCTATCAGATTTGACATTAAGGACAGGCAAGAAAGAATAAGAAATTTAGCAGCGACGCATTCCTTATCATTATTATAATAAGTTTTGGCTTTCAAAAATGTTGGATAAAAAACACGAACGAGAAGTTCCTGTCTAACTTGAAATTTTGAAGTTGGCGTTACTTTCAGCAAGTGTGCAATTACGATATACGATAGTTTTGGATCATCAGGTGTTAGCAATTCCTTATACATTTCCAAAAATTCCCAAGAATAATTAGATGGCTTGTTGCAAGTTTCACAATTATTAATCACCGGATAAGCACCGAGTTCTTTGAAGAGAGTACGTTCGAGAAGAATAACGGCTGGATTGTAAGTTGAGTAATCACGTTTCTTTAGGAAAGTGACAATACTTGAGAGAAGGATTTTTGGTGAAAAACAACAACAGGTACCAGCAGCCGTCGTCACTTTTAATAATCTGATTCGTAACTCTGGTACACAGGCATAAGATTCCTTCAAAAGATTAGTTAGAGTCATGAAAAGTGAGGACACACAACAAGCTTGTTCGAGGATCGAGACACCAACGATTGATTCAGTGTAAGGTAATCCAAGAACATCGGAATGATGATGCGATTGAATGTTATCTACACAAAATTTGTGTTTGTTTCTGTGACATAGGCTCATGTGTGCGATATCTCGTCGAACCCTTTTTAGCCCACTCGTTAGGGCACCGATCATATCAATGATTTTTTTTGCACGTACGACAGATCTTGTTGGATCAGCACTTGGTAAACTAACGATCGCCAAGATGGTTTTCTCGATGAGTTTACCGTCTTGGCTTTCGGCAAACAGTCGAAAAAGTTCAAAAAAGTCTGATAGATTATCAACATTTGCACTTCGCTGATGTAACAGGCAATAGAGAAAAGTTATGATACCGTACATGGTTGCAAAGATAAATTCTTGAAGTAAAGAGCCTTCGTCCGGTGAAAGATCACTGCCGATTGATTTGGTGCAAGCATCTTCGAGTAATCTGAGAGTCATAGGTAACAATCCATTGTGTATTACAGCAGTGGTAGGTTCATCAGCTCGGAGAACACGTTCCAAAGCTATTAACATCAATCTCGCAGCAGCGGCCTTTAAAGTAGCGCATTCGATCCTAGTGAGACCAGTTCCATCGATACCAAATTGTAGAGACCAAATAGTATCCAAAGCAAATTTTAACACTTGCACGGCTGGCGTTTGTTCGGCAGGTGTATCATAGTCCCTTAATCCTTGAAGCAATTGTATGATCAAGAAACTAGTCTCGAAATTATTCATCGTTGCATTCAAGACTTCCTTGATTCTCTCATCTATATAATCCAAAGGAATTTTCTTCGCTGGTCGTGCAGGTAACTCGTAAAGAGCAGCCTGCCATTTCTGTTCCTCGTCACTTCTGACTACTGACGTGAAGTATTCAAAATCCATCGGATTTAAACGTATTTTTAGGGTCAATGAACGTGCCTGATCGATACCATCCGTCAGAAATTCCGACTCGCTGCTCTCGCTTTTCGTCGTGTTACGTTTTGTTTTGGTTCCCAAAGATTTTTGTTTATTATTGTACGATGCCATTCTAATGCCGATACCTTGCTTACGGTTACTACTTTTTTTTCTTGATATCCTTGCATTGCCTTCGTAATTTTTAACGCAGCGACTTATCGACTTGATGTTTCTTCGCTTGGCGTGAGGCACTATGATCACCGTATCGACTGAGTCGTCGTTACAATGAAGCTTAACGTAGGGATTGCGAATAGACGATTCTTTCGACTTATCTGAAGAATTATCTTCTTGAAGAGCGACTGGATATAATGCTACTAACAGTGCAACAAGCTCACGACCACACGATAATCCACGTACACCCAACAAATGCAAGACTGCTAAACAACGCCAGCCACGATCTCGAGCTAAATATCTTCTCAAGCCGACCAATTCACCGCCTTCACTTTTTTTCGCACAGAGTTCATGTACGTCCGAAAGCAATTCGCATGCCACGAGTGTAGATACTCCACCACCACCGACTGAACTGAAATAAAATATCCGATGTTATATCAGATTTTCTTTTATAGAATATCTTCTTATCGGTTTTATCTTTAAACTTATCGTATTGATAAGATTATTAACTTATTCCTTTCTTCATATTTATTTATTTAGATATTTCTTACGACAGTCATTCCTTCGAAATTCGAAGAAACAAAAGTGTAAAATGTGTTGCAAATGTGCCGATATCAAAAGATCGGAGTTAATCATAATAGATTGTTCGAACTTTTTCTTTGTGATGCCTCAATAATATATCTACTAATCTTGTTCTTTTTTTTCTAATATTGCGCTTTTCAATCATCAAAGATCAATGCAAGTGACGAATTACTTGTTAAAATAAAAAATAATTTGTTTAATTTTTATTTTTTTGTATACGACAAACTAAAGTAATCTAGTAAATAAGTTCGATAAAATATCAAGAAAAAGTAATGTGCATATACATTCAACTCTTTATACATTCAATATCTCACGGTAACAGTATGACCGCAAGGATGAGATCATATTTTCATACTGCGGTAACTATTAGACAACGTTCGGTAAAAATACATGTTTCACCATTACTAATCCACAGAAATGCATACTATCTTGTTAGCCTCTAAATAATTCTTTCTTTTTTATATATTATTGATTTTTCAAGATACGTACACACTATGATTTTTATATACGTATCATTATACAATAGAATTGCAATAATATTTCTCAATCGTTATAATTACCAAAAGGAAACGGCATCTTTCACGTCTCTGCCTTCCTTCACTTGAGCAAGTAATTCTGCCAAAAATATGTCGAGCCAAGATGATTTCTAAAAATATAATATCAATGATTAATTATTATTAATAATTGCATATTTTTCATCTGAACTAAAAAAAAAAAAAAAAGAAAATATTATAAATCAATAACAAATTGCTGATATTTTTATTAATTTTTACGAGAAGTAAAAGAAATTCCTTTACTAATTTTTGTAAATCATGATAATTACCCCATAAAAAACAAAAGATAAAATAATTATTTTAATTAAAAAAAAAATAATAAAATAATAAAACCATTAAACATTTTGCTATAAATCGTTCGGTGCAATAAAGAGAAAGAATTATGCTCGTGACTTTTAATAATTAATTTAAAGACAGAGTTATAGATATTGATATTATTACTTGTGTACATCGTTGCGTTTAGTAAACAGTGAGTATATAAAATGAGAATTAATTACTTTTACAATATATCATTGATACATAAACATGACTCAAGATGGAAAGAACCAGTATGCACTGAACGTAAATAACAAACGGTTTACATTTCTCCGTAGCATGTATGTGGTCACGTAGGCTTCTTTTCTTAAATGAACACAGATCGTAACTTATCACAAATATCGGACTTCAGTAAACGGATATATATTACCAACACAGATTGCTTTAATTCGCTCATAAAAATTCATAAACATGCATAATAATTAATGTAATGACACGAATATAATCATAAGTATTGAAAAAGAAAAAAAAATAAAAGAAAAAAAAACGTGATTAATTTTTAACATCTATATTTAATGAGATTATCCCAGGTTACAATGATTAATTCCTCTGGTATATTGATAAATAATCAACGATCCTCAAATTACTTACCTGTAAAATGTTGCACTTTATCAGCTATAATGCAAAAATTTGAACAAAAAGAAAAAAAAATAAGGTCATCTTAAAAAATTTTATTAGAATTGCAGTTTCAAATGTATCTCCCAATATTGAAAAGCAATATTAATAAAAGGCCTAGTCAAATAAATCTATATCGAAAATAACAAATACCATTCCATAAATAAAAAAATAAAAATTTTACTGATTATTATATTAAATATTTATTCTGTATTAAATAATTATTAATAATTAAATATTTATTATAATACTGCGTTTCAGCCCATACGAAATATTAAAATTTCAAATTTAGCCCAGTGCAAAATAAAGATCGCACATCATTGATCTAATAGCATATAAAAAAGGTTTAATTATTTATGTTTTCCAAGTGCCAAGTGACATAATATCGACAGATAAAGTGTATGCAATTTATAGGTCATCTTTGAGCGATAACAAGATGGGACATAGCCGTGAAAGAATCAATGACAAAGTTGTTGCGAAATCGTGCGTGGTAGAAACTAGCGAAGGTATATTAATCGTAAATGACAGTAAAGGAAAACCTAACAAGGCGCACAAGCGACACTCATTTATTGTATGCTAATGAGACTACAAAATAATAAATAGAAAAAGGAGATAGACGTTATTTATCTTGGTTGTTAAATAAAACGTATTTGAAGTTTCGTGGCTTCTCATTAACATTCAGCATTATAATAATATTTATAAAATAGAATTATTTTAAAAGATATATTTTTTTTTAAAGCGTATAAAGTCTATACACAACATACATAAAAAAGTGAAATAACTTGATTAACCGATTGATTATGAAAGATTCAATTGGTTATATGCAAATAATCGATGATATAAAACATATAAACATATAAAAAAACATAATCGTCGTAAATATTCATTATGAAAAATAAAATTATTCGAGATATAATAATCATTGAAAAAAATTATTATTTGCATAATTATGCAGTAAACTGGCATAATTCTCTATATTGAAACAATAATGTATGTAGAATGTTAAAATAATAAAATATTACAAATATTACGGTTGTTAGAACTATACCTCGTAACTTAGTGGTTCAGCGTGAATGAAATGATCCCAAAGTATTTGTAATTTATCCGAAGAACCTGAAGACATTCCTAAGTGTTCGTGATGGTGTTCGTCGTCGTCTTCGCCTTCAGACTCAACGGTTTTTAATCTTCCATCATCTTCGAAGCTACTCACATCGTAGGAATCACAAGCAGCGAGCTCCTGCAAATTCGGATCTTCTTCCAAAATCTCTTCTTGAGCTGCAGCCTCGGATTGATTGACGTCAACCTGAAAAGATAATGGAATCCACGATGTAATACGAATTCTTGCAGAAAGATAAGATGAGAAAACGTTGTGTCAACGACGTCTTTTCCAAGTTTAACAGAGTTTCACGACTCTCTATAAAGCTTCTCTTCACTTACATACACTTACATAGATATTTACGTACGTGTGAGTGATTAGCCGATCTACCACAGCTTACGTAATACCCCTTCCCCATCTGAACTCTGTCGGACAAGTTTCCAGCCTTTCAGGGGAAGCCTGAAAGCTACTGTATACCTATAACTCGTTAAGTCGATCGAACAGAGGAAATGAGAGAAATAGAAAGAAAGAAAGAGAAAGAAGAAAGATCTTTTCTTGGCACACACAAAAAAAACGATGTTCATTAGGGATTCCTATTTTGTATTAACAATCAGAACACTTGGAAAATGATTAAAATCTACTGATAGATGACATGATGACTTAGGTCTATATAAAGACCTTTAATACATTTTGTCAACTGACTTACTCCCATACTATAAAACGTTGCATCTTCTTTATCAGCATCCAAAATATACGATTGTCCGCTTTTTTGTCTTCGAGAACGAGTCGAAGAGGATTCGTTTCTCTGTCTTCCATGTATAGATCTTCCTCGTCCTCTTTGAAAGCCGTATGGAGAAAAAATTGACATCGAACAGGTCCTCGATATCAAAAGATTCCTCGTCGTTGAATGAAACAATCAGTAACAGTTGGTCAAACGAATCAAACAATATCTGTGATCATAATTGATCAATTTTTAGGCTTGAATATCAAGTAACTTTCGGTAAGGAAGACCGATCTCTACTGTTAATGAACTCAACATTCGACCATCAAACGACCCCGGTCCACGACCTCTTTGCTATCGTGGCACTTTTGATTTATGATCTTTTCGAGCTCCGTCGACCTTCTGATACAACATTAGCAAACCCGACAATCGTTGTCTTTTTCGCTGCAAATTTATATTCCTTTTTTTTGCTTTTCTATCTTTTTCTTATGCTTCCTCCTGATCGCCCTAATAGTAATAAAAACTCTTACAAAGTTTTCAACGTCGAGATACTTTTGTATAAGACCAAAACAATTGGCTAAACAGAAGCTTATGTATTCTACCAGACAACTCTTCTTCTTATGTCAATGCAAAAATACCAAGCATGTGATTATATTTATCAGTTGAATTTATACACTATGATATACTTCTAGAGTGATCTTTTAAATGAGATTATAATACTTTCTACGTCACTCCTTGATCGTATTCTACAAACAGACGGACAAAAAAAGGACAATAATTCACATAATATAAACGATAAAACTGAATGAAATCAATTCGATGAGAATATATATAATTAATCAAAAAAACCTATCTCACTGATATGTTATTTCGACTTTCACGTAGTCTAATTATGTTTTCTAAGGTATAATTTAATACGTTTGCATGACCGACAAATGCGAAGTTGGAATTCCGTTTAGAATGTTCTGTTGCGACCCTTCTCTTCAGGATCGTCATGTGAACTGTTGTTAAGACGACGAACGGCTGAAGAAAGTAGCAGGAGATGGTGATCGAGGTAGGGGTAGAGGTGGGGGTGGGGCTGAAGATAGAGGTGGATACGGACGAGCCTCCCGCAGACCAAAGGCTATTCCAATCGACGTCCTCCTATGAAGAAAACTTATGATTCACATTTGTCTCCCGCGTCTCACCATGTCGAATAATCAAAAATAAAAGAGAGAGAAGAGGCATACATAGAAATAAATGATAAGGAAAAACGATTACATGCATTCACCCTCGAAAACCCGATAACGCAATATGATACTAATGTTACTTTGATCGGGCTATGGAATGTTTTCTTGACGGTTTTCACGTTTTACGATTCTATTGAAGTCAGAGTTCTCGTACAAGAATCATAGAAAATAATAAAATAAAAAAGTAGAAATACGTTGGCTATTTTTATCCCAGTTAAAATTCACTACGATTAAGCTATCTCGTGTAATTAATCGCAATTAACTCTATCGCTTTATGGCAAAGTTTCTACGCGGAGCGTAACAACTGATAATTAGTTCTATCATGCAAATTTGATTGATCTTTTTATTTAAATTATATCAAATTAATATAGAACAAATTTATAAGTATACATAAGTCTCAGGACAAAAAAAAAACGTTTCTGGTTTTTATCAAGTTAAAATATCAAGTTATATTACGTTCACCTAGAGTTATTAATTAATGCAGAATTTTCTTGACTGATTACAATCATTTTTAGTATAAACCGAGTGACCATTCAACGTTGGGTAAATGTGGTTGTGACCTTTATTAAAAAAAAAAAACGAATAATTAAATCAATGACTTCGTTACGATCGTTATCTCTTCAAAATTCGATTTAAATAAAACGATATTAATCATCAAATTGTTGTCGTTATCCTTTGTTTACATTTATCTTTTATTACGATCTTTTTCATGAATAAACTTAAGATAAATCATATGATTTCCTTTTTTACAATTGATTATTTAAAATTGATACGTAGAGAGATTTCTAGAGATTTCAACGAATGATTAATACTAATACTACTTATAACCTCCTGCTGAGATTATTGTCTCCATCATTGTGCAAAATGGTTGACGCAAAGTAGATAAACAAAAAAAATTGTAAAGAGTGATAACGCAAAGTAACACGTGCAAATGATCGAAAACGTTAGTATATACGCACATAGACACGCACGTATGCATGCACATATACATACACACCGGATGGAGGAGCATCAATTAATCTTCGATGTGTACAGTGGACTCGTTATTATGGTGAAGAAATATCTTAATGGTGTATTACCCTACTGTTGTTCTTTAATTAACCTCGCGAAATGATAACAAGAGGCGCAGAATCAGTGAAAAACGAATCATTCTTTTATAGATAATAACAAGGAAAAAGGCAAACTCGTGAAAATGATAATAATACCAGGAAAGATTTATGAGTGTATCGAGTGTAGGGAGACCAAATATATATTGGGAAAGAAGAGATTTACATTTAGTAATTTTCCTAGGCAGTGAAGATAGAGACAAAATAGAGGCTTTCAATTCAGACATCAAAACAGGAATAGTTTTTGTCATACAAAGGATATATACATATATACATATATATATAACGATTAATAAGTTTACGTTATATATATATATATATATATATATATATATATATAAATTAATAAGTTATTCGTTCGATATATTATAAAGGACAATACAAACAAAAATTCAGTTATTTACAATTATAATCAATATCATTACTGCATAATATGTACTATATACAATTTCTTGATATTCCTCAAAGTTTCAAAAGAAAAGGTCATGTCATTCTAACTAATTCTTTTTAATATTTCTTCTTATGGCAAGGATCATTAACGGATCAAAAATCTTACGTTATTCTTCGGTTGGTATCAGATAAAAAAGGGCTAATCATGTGAATGTTTCGATATAAAATTAACGATACGAAAGTTTCTAAAATTACGTCAATTATTGGTCTTGAATTTGTTTACGATCAACAAATAATTTCGCGCCGTTCGAGAACTTTTCATTCCCTTGTTTTTCTCCCCACCCTTTCGAGCCGCCTTTCTCTCTCTCTCTCCCTCTCTCTCTCTTTTACTCTTTTACTCATGCTCACGTATGTATGCGTATATATATATATACACGCATATATACGCATATAACATACATATAACGTAATTAGATTATCTTCAAAAAGTTTGTCACAAATCGTAAGTTATACGATAAACAACAAATCAATGCACGATAACGAGTTGACCTTCTGAGATTATCTGCCAAACATAAAAAAATCCGAATAATTAAGGATATAACGATTATTTCTTTCCGTATTCTTTTTTCGAATGCTTTTTTTAAAAGGCTATAGTACTCGTATTACGTGAATTTTAAACTTACGTTACGTTCCCGCCACTGCACCCGCGATTTCTGTGTGATAAAATCACGACGAATGTCACGCCAATCTCCGTTACGGCGCTCGAAATTAATTATCTCAAACCGAAGGATTAAAGTAAACGATGGCTTCTCTTTCTATATCTCTCTTTCTTTCTCACGCTTTTTCGTTCTTTATTTTTCTCGTGCGTATAGATATAACAATAAACCGATTCTTAAAAATCATATGAATACCGTAAAACGAAGAACATTTTCACGACCTGTCAACTCTTTAGCAACGACTCTCAATGACTTCGGTCGGTAACAACCAACTTCATCATTCTTCCTTTCTCTTTCTCTCTCACTCTCTTCCTTTATCGTGAATCTGATTGGGTAATCACATAGGATTACTTATTACCACAAATTTACCATAAATTTACCGCGAATTTCAAGATAATTTAAATGGTTGATTGTTATATATAAAATTATAGGACAAGCGTTTTAATTTATGAAAAAATAATTTAATGAAAAAACAAATATGTTTGTTTTAGTTTGATCGTGAACTTTATGATTTATAATACTACGAAGAGAAATATGTCTTATCTTTTGGAGATTTGGATAGTGGTATACATGATAGTGAAAATAAACGGGTACGAGTATCTTTAGAGTTGTAAGCAAAATGCTTTCATCCTATAGTTTTCATATCGATCGATTCTCTTATTATTCCCAGTAGAATCGTATCATACTATTTACAAATTATTAGCATTACTAATAATTTATTCGTGAAATATATTTTTATGTATCATGAAAAAAAAAGTTAAATTTTAAATTTAGGATCTTATTTAAATTTGACGCAATAGAAGAAACACATAACCTTTAATTGGAAGAAAACGTACGCATGCGAGGGAGTTCCTTGAAGTTTTGTATCAATCACACAAACTATGACGGCGGTTTGGGAGCGAATGCGAAATCCATGTGGATGGAAAGGAGGTGCTAAACAAATATCCGTTGATGCTATGATACCGCTTTTTGCGGTACCTCTTTTGGCAATAATAGCCGCCCAGTCAATTCTTTGTACCATCATAATATTTCTTGCTACACCAATTCTGGTTTATTATTTGCATCATAATTTCTTAAGGTTTCTCTTAAGAACAAAATTTTTTCTCATGTGGACGATCACGAGCGTGTTGATGCTAATGATAGTTTTTGAAGTCAGTGTTGTGCCATTACTTGAGATTTTACCAGGCGAGAATTTATTTTTCATAATATGCGTTGCCGGAGGCATATGTTGCGGCTCTAAGACAAGACTGAATGCGGATCGTATTGCTCAGGAAGGTGCTACAGAGCAAGGTTTAGAGCTTGGAGAAGGAAGCGGAGAGTTATGTGTAACTTGTAGAAGAAGAGCACCACCTAAAGCTTATCACTGCCGAATGTGTCAAACATGTATACTTAATAGAGAGTATCATTGTAAATGGTAAGTCCAAATATATGAAAATTTTGAAATTTTGTTTACAGAGAAATAAATTTGTTTATAATCGGTTTAATTTTAGGTTGGACTGTTGCATTGGTTCTAGTAACTTACGATGGTATTTAGGATGCTTACTATTTTCAGCAATAGCTTTTATTTATGGCTCTAATCTGACTATGACAAGCGTTTGCCATCCTTTTATTTTAATTGGTACAGTGCTCTTACCGGATGACTGCAGTGATGTTTATCATCAATTAGAGTATGTATAAATATTTGATTATAATAATTTAAATCATCCTATAATATTATGATAACAAAGTTTATTCTTTAAATATAAGTTTAAATAATCCATACTTGAAATATCTTTTTGAGTTCTTCTTTTCATAGAATATAATTTGTAATATATAATTATATGTCATTATAATATTAAAACTAAATGAACTAAAATGGAAAGATACAGAGGATCTACAATACAAACTTTAATTATCAAAAGATAGTGATAATAGTCAAGAGACTCATAAACATTGGAATATATCTTATTTGCTCTCTGAAAATATAAAAAATTTATTGATAACATGTCACGCAACTGTTTGCTTCATGTTCTTCATCAATATACATATAATATAATGTACATATTGTTTTAGCATCGCTCTCTGCTTCATCTCAGCAGTCTACAGTTTGCTTGTTGGCCTAGTAGTATTTTGTTATTTAATTCATCATCTATGGCTAATTTATCTTGGAACAACATCGAACGAACGTCGTTTACGAACACCTAGAAATCAATATGATCATGGAATTTTAAAAAATGTATCACGGTTATTTTGTTGCAAAACTTAGATACGAATAATAGGTAGTCTAGGATATTGTATTTACTTTGTACAGAATATATTTTGTCGTCAAGAGAATAAAATGATTATATAAAACTATGATTGTCAGGTTAGATATTTGAAGTATAACAGATCTTCTTTGATAATGATATTATTTACTTATCTGTATTTCTTTCTTGTGTTTTTCAATGTCTTTTTTTATGATACTTTAGAAAAATAAGTTTACTCATTGAATGATATTACATTCGATGTATGTGTGTGTCATAAATCGTGTGATATACTTATAGGATTTACGTATATCACGCTTGATAATGGTATATTATATTATGAGTGTACCAGCCATAAATCAAATTTCTAGTATTGTGTCAAGACATTACTGTGTTTAGTATTTAAATATTTATTGTAACTGTGATAAAAAATTTATTATGTGGTAATTACTTATCTCTTTTTTTAAACGAAATATAAAATCAAAAATATGTAATTTATATAAAATCTTTGAACTTTATATTGTATAAAAGTGATTATTCTATCTGTGAAACTATCGTATCGTTAACGTATAGCAGTAAGCATATTTTTTATGATAAAAGAATGTTAAACATCACGTATAAGATAGTTCATAAATATTATTTTTAGTGTTTAGATTAATTACATGATTATTTTAATCCTCTAGTGCCACTCCTCTCTCCTTAGGATCAAAATCAGGAACTATTTTTTGTACTATTTTTCTCCACTTGTTCCTTTGTTTTTCACTTTCTTTAACTATTTCAGCTATCATAGGATAATCTCTCCATTTGTTAAAATATTTATTCATAAGTTTACTATCATAATATTCCTGTGCCATTTGTACATTTTTTAAATATTCTAATTTTAATTGATTAACAATTGATCTTAGCGCATGAAAATATTTCTCTTGCAATTTCATATCATAAAAATCTTTGGCAACTTGATGTTTTGTATTTTGTTCTTTTACCATATCCGTCCAATCTTTAAACGTGTACCATAATAAATTCCTATCATATAAAGAAATAGCAAGTTCAAGTTTAACTTCGTACTGTTCTTTTGTTCTCCTTCTCCAAACAGTAAAAGTTTGCAATAATAAATATTGTCTATAATGATCATTTGCTTTTTGAATATTGTTATTTCTTATTTCTATGAGTTTCTTAAACGATCCTATGATATAATGTCGAAATAAATATTTGCAATAGAATTTATTGGCCATTGTATTTAACTTTTTCAATCTCTCCAATTCTTGCAATCGACATTTTTCTTGTTCCTCACGTAGCTTTTTCGTTTCTCGCATGGCCTGAAATTAAAATAATTTATTTTTTAATCGAAAAACTATCAAAGTACATGATAAAATATTAAATAATAAAAAAATTGTTCGAAGAAATATATGCAATATTATTAGCATATTTTGATTTTTGATTATCTGACCTCTTGGTATAACTTTTTTCTTTTCTCTTCTTCGTCTCGTTTAGTTGTTTCTTCTTTTAATTTCTGCTCTTCTAACTTTTTTCGACGAATTTCCTTCGCCTTTTTTAATCGTTCTTTTCTTGCCTCTGCTCGAGCTTCCATTCTTATAATGAATTTTGGTGGATTTGGTGCTTGCTGTGGTGTAGTCATAGATTTATCTCTTAATAAACAAAACATAAATATATATGTTATATATAACTATATATTATTTTTTATAATATATATTATATACACATAATGTGTGTGTGTGTATTTAATTAAGCCCACCTAAATATTTCATTGAATTGTGATGCAAAAAATATTTTTTACGCAATGCAAATGGTACCAAAGAATCAACATACGGCATGAATATTGTTTTTTAGAGTTTTCGATGTTTTTTTTTGCATACAACTCTATATATTTTTTTTATTACATATTATAGTTAATTAAAAAATATGTTCAGGCATAATACGTTATAATACGTAACATAATCTTACCATAGATATCTAAACGTATTTTCATATCATTATAATTTGATGAGATATTTAAGTGGCTTTACGTAAATAGACCATCCATTATATTAATTAATATATTATATATATATATATATATATATATATATATATATATATGTCAGAATTAGATAAATTACCTATGACCAGCTTGTCTCATTAATTGAATTAAAGTTCTTCTTGTTTTTTGACCACAATTCATCAAAGTTTCTTTAGCAGCATTCATAGTTTCCTTATCCATTTTCAGTAATTCTTCTTGAATTTGTTTCAATTTAAATTCTTCGATAATTCTATTTTGTTCAGCCAATTTAGATCTTTGCTTTTCGATTATAACTTTCTGAGCATTTAAACGATTTTGTACAAGAGACTCGAATGCAAAATGTTTTTTCTGACGAGTTAATTTTTTTTTATCTTCGCTTTCTTGCAGATTTTTAAAAGATATATTATTTTTTGTCTGTGACTTAGAATTTTTTCCTAATTCTTTTTGTTTCTCCGTAATTTCATTAATGAAAATTTCGATTTTACGTTCGTGAGATACATTTTGCGATTCCAATTTTGTTTTTGCAGTATTTTTTATATTTTCAATATAAGTTCTCCAATTTTGAAAATATCTTTTTAATCTTCTGGAGGCCATATTTTCTTGTATTTTTATTTTTATATCTCGAAATCGTCGTTCTTCCATTGAATTATTTTTTAAAAATTCAAAATATTTTTTCATTAACTGCAATCGTTCTTCCTCCGAATCGAAATTAATTTTATCCTTAATAGTTATTTTAATATTTCCGAAAGATACATTTTCGTCATTTCTATTGATTTCATCAGTATTAGAATTTTCAAATATCGGAGATAATTCTTCGATAGACGTTTGCTTGCGTCTTCCAAAAGTTTGTACCTTTATAATTTCATAACTTTACATTAATAATTATTTAAATAGTAATAATATTTCTATATTATTTAATAATAAAAAATACAATCCAACCTTTGATCTATCGATTGTTTTAACGTCCATCTTTATTCTATTGGATATACTCCAGAAATCCTTGTCGTTTGAATTGGCTAGATTTTTCCTATTGCATCTATATTTATGTTGAAATTTTGGGCGGGATTTATGAAGTTCGTTCTCAAATCTTCTTAATTCCATTTCGAGGAAAGTTTGTTCCTTCTTCAGGCACATTTCTTTAATTTCCTCTTCTTTCAACAATCTAATCAATTTAATTATTGATATAGAATAAGTAGAAGAGAAATTCAAAATTAAATATTAATATAAATCAAATAAAACAGATATGACGTAAGTACAACGTTAGTCATATTAATTTTACCTTTTGGCCTCGGTCAAAGCAGAACAATTCGCATCAGGATTGAACAATGTATCTTGAATTACTTTATGTCTCGTGTCCATAATTAAATTAGGATTGAGAAAGCCATTATTATCGTCTTTCAATAATCGATGTTTTTCAGAATGTGAAAAAATTGGCACCTTCATCATTTGATTCATGAGGTTATCTACCTCGTCGAGATGTACCATGTTTTAATGATACTTTTCGCTTTACTACTTCGTGAAATAACAACTAATATAAGTAATTCATTAACGAACCATTTGATGTATATAGATCTGAGAAAAAAGTAATCTATAGTTAGGGGTTGTTTATGCGTGTTTATTCTGTTGCTAAGGGGAACTCTGAGTGGGAGTTTCCATAAACTGATCAAGTCACATATATCCAATCAGTTTATAAGATTACTTTTATGCACGCGATTCTGATATTATATTATCCTTTTTTTATTATTATTTAATTATTAATGTTAATAATCGAAAAATATTTATGATTTATTGTATTCAAAATTTATGAAAATTTTTAATTATTCGAATATTTTAAAAATTAATTATATCATATGAAAAATTATTTTTGTAACGTACATATAATAGATTTAGAGGCAGATTATAAGTGAATAAAATTTCATGTTAATATTTATTTTATATTGTCTAGATATTGATAAAAATGAGAACATATATTAGAGCTCAAGTTAATTTGAAATTTTCCCGCTATTTCTACACAGTTTAATTGCCAACATGGAAACCGCTAGCGTCAATTGTTGTCAAGCCAGTGCTGCTGCAGCAAGTGCATCTTAGGCCTGAAAGTGCATCTGATTCTAAAACTCTATTTATGTTGAAGCTGGTAAGACTCCTGCGTGACAAAATACACAACATAAAATAAGAACATACTGTTAATAATTATAGATCGATATCGTCAATATGTCATGCGTTTAAATTTTGGAATATATTGCAGAATAATCGTGGTTAATCAAGCCTAAATGTCTTATATATTTTTTCGTACATTTTTTCTTTCTAAGGAAATAGATAATAGCATGTCTGATATTTATTTTTCTATGAAATAGGTGACACATCGTAATATCACTGACGGAACATATAAAATACAATGGATCCAAGGGGCCCTCCTGAGGGGGGCCCTGGTGACACATTTGATATGTCTAATATTGGCAAAGTTGCTGACACTTCGGTAACTTGGCCAATTGATAGCCCGATTAACTCAGGAATATTTGAACAACCAAAGAAGATGAATAATAATAGATTACTATTTTTGACCGTAAGTAAAATGTGACATTTGAAAATTCTTTTTGACGAGTAAGATATTGATAACATTATTTTTTTTATTAGGTTGAATATGTTGAAGATCAATCAAGAGATTATTCCCGCTTATTCCCAACATACGAGCAGGTCTCGTTCTCACCCAGACCTTCATCTCCTCTATCTGATTTTGAGCATCGTGTTAGTCCACTTGATCCAAATATGAGTTCTGCTGCTAGGTATTCGCCAACTCCGGTTCAATTAACTCCATCTCCTTTTCATAATTCTGTTGTTATTCTCCAAGGTCCTTCCTCCCCTTTGATATCTACAACTGAATCCAATGTAAGATCAAGTATCAATTTTGTGAGTCAATTGACTCATCCAATAGATGCACAAACTGATACTGGAACAGATTTTATTGACGAAGAAAATGAAGAAACTTTAGTTTCTAGTGTTGGAAATGAATTAATATTAATGCAAGGTAAATAGTATTAATAATAATTTAATATTCACAGAATTTATAATAACATGTAAAATGATTTAATCTTTGCAGAGTCTAATGCAGAATTGGAACAAAGCACAACTCCACTCATGTTAACAGGTATATCAGGTGCAGATTTTACTTTGACAAGAGATTATATAGTAATGCAAGATGATCAAGTAAATGTAATGAATTCTTTGAAAAATCCAACTCTTTCAATGGGAGATAATCATATCACTAATGCATCTGAAAAAAAGGATATAACAAAAGAAAGTAATTCTCAGTCAATAACAGAAGCCAATGTGCAAATGGGTCAAATTAATGAAATATTATCTCATGCAAATAAAAAAAAAACTATTGATAAGAAGAATACAAAGAAGTCAAAGCAACAGATGGATGATGACAAAAATTTTTGTAAGTTAAAAATAATTGTAACTACTTCATTTATTAATACATGAAATTATTGTACAGTTCCAATTTATTACAGGGTGCGATGAATGTGATGGTATTTGTACCAATGAAGATGGTTGCACTTCTCATAATGTATGTACGATTGCCGATCAACCTGTACCATCACGAGCTATAGCTACACTGCCAGGATCATATCTTTCTATAAATAAATTATCTGCTGTGGATATTATACCGGGAGGTTCTGAATATGGAGTTTTTGCGAAACGCAATATTCGTAGGCGTACACAATTTGGTCCTATTGAAGGTATTTTATATGGTTACGATGGCACACCCTTTGAAAATGCATTGCCATTGCTTTATGAAGCAGAAGAAGGACAATTTTTGAAAGTTGATGTTTCAGATGAAAGTGAGTATCATCGATCATACTTTAATTCATAGCCTTATGGCTTCAAAAAGTATAGAATATATATATTTTTTAGATACTTCAAATTGGATGCGTTTTGTGAGGCCTGCACTTACTTATAAAGAACAGAATCTAGTGATTTGTCAACAGAAAGATGGAATTGTATTTTTAACTACAAAAAATATTTTACCAAAAGAAGAACTAAGAGCAGGACCTCATCCTGATTATGCAGCACGTAGAAATTTAATGGTATTGAAACCTGATGTGCGAGATGACAAAGGTATAAATAATTATATTTGCTTTCTTATTTTTTTTGCTTTCTTACTTGTTTACATATTTTATATTATATATTTTTTCTTTTATTAGAACATAACAACAGTATGAATATTTGGCCAAGATCAGATAATAATTCTTATAATCATGCAAGACGTATGAAATTATACAGAGGCAGAAATTTGAAAGAAAAAGAAAATACAAGACAAAATAATTGTAAAGAATGGAAATGTTGTACATGCAATTTGATCTTCAAAAAATTATCTTTATTTAAATTACATAATCTAATGCACAATCCAGAAGACAATAAAATAAATTGTCAATCAACAATTTGTCCACAGTGTGGATTAGAATGCCAGAAAAGATCTGAATTAATCAGTCATGTTTCACAGCATGGAAGATTATCTTTGCCAAAAGGTAATAAATTGACTTCAGTGGTTGCTGCATATAAGTGCTCAATGTGTTATAAACGCTTTGCTACAAAAGTACGACTACAGAAACATTGTTTGGTGCATGGTGCCGAGGACCAAAAGCCACTGCCATGCAGCATTTGTCTGAAAAGATTCATGAATAATTCTGCTTTATCTTGTCATTTAAAAACGCATAGAGGTAAATTTTAATAAATTTTTATTAGATTACAATTTGTCACATATAAATAATTATATCTAAAAACTTAATATAATTTTGTAGAAAATAAACAAGTGTATGAATGTCCAATATGCAGACAACTCTTTGATCAAGGTGTGATGTTAAAAGATCATGTCGAGACACATAGAAATGGAGATCATACATTTACCTGTCCACATTGTCAAAGAAATTTTATTAAATATTCAGTAATTCGTAAACATATAAGAGCTCATCATTGTGAAAGAAAACACAAGTGTCAGTTTTGTACAAAGCGTTTCCCTACAATGGATAAATTACAAATGCATTTACTTAAACATTCTGATCACAGGTATACATATTAGTCATATTGACCTGTATATTATACAAATTAATATTTATTTATTGTATTATACGTTTATTTCTCTTATAGAGAATTTCACTGTGCTGATTGTGGAAAACAATTCAAAAGAAAAGATAAACTTAAGGAACACATGACTAGAATGCATAATTTGCAGAAAATAAATCAAGAACAAACAGTACAAAATAATCAAGCAAAGAAGTTTGTGCCAAAGGTATAATCTATATCCAAATTTTTTTTCTATGGTTAAAATATGTATATAATAATATGTATATTTTTTATTAGGTAAACCCAAATGATTACAATCGTTTCATATATAAATGTCATCAATGTCTAGTAGGATTTAAGCGAAGAGGAATGCTCGTAAATCATTTGGCAAAACGACATCCAGATGTTGCCCCAGAGTCTGTCCCCGAATTAAATTTACCAATTTTGCGACAAACGAGAGATTATTATTGTCAATATTGTGATAAGGTATCGTATTATATAATACAATAATTTTCAATCACAATATACATATATATATACATACATACACACATTTGTAAATTTTTATATATTTATTGTATAAATGCATAAAGGTATATAAAAGCAGCAGTAAACGTAAAGCTCATATCATGAAGAACCATCCAGGTGCTGCTTTACCACCAAGTAATCGTCAAAAAGAATCAGAATATTCGAGTCTGCCTAATCCAACATTTAGTCAGACAGTTGGTAGTATTACAACTACACCTCAAGGATGTCAATGGTGCCATAAACAATATGCTAGTAAGGTAAATAAAATAAGGCATATTTTTAATCACAATATTTTAATATAATATATTATTTCTTGTTGTAATACATGTCTTCTCTCTCTCTCTCTCTCTCTCTCTCTCTCTCTCTCTCTCTCTCTCTCTCTCTCTCTCTCTCTCTCTCTCTTTTCTTTCTTTCTTTCTCTCTCTTTCTCTCTCAATAGGCAAAACTTTTGCAACATCAACGTAAGAAACATCCGAATTTAATGGAACCAGCGGATCAAATTCCGCGATCTAGAAGTCGTCCACCACAAAATCAAAACCAACCACCTACACTAAGTGATAACAATTTCATGTTATCAGATTATATTCAAGCATGCGACGTAGACGGAGAATTTTTTAAGCAGAGGATAATCAAAATATCAAATGATGTTGATCTAATAAGTAACGGTTTGGAGTTGGTTGGACAACAATTTGTACGTATGCGTGATATACGTTGAAGAAAGAAATGGCACACCCGCTTTGTCGGGAATCATCGCCAATTTATCGAGATATGAATCTCGTGACTTTGTGCATAGTCAAAAAGGCTGTGCTTTTTTGCTGCCGGTACCAAACACAAAGGCATTGTTTGCCTGACAGAAGTGTGGTATGGTACTTCTACTTGAGAGTATTTGGAACGCAGCTTTGTCAGCGCCAGTGCGAAACACTGAGCGCTGTTGTCTCAATTGTGTGAATTGCAATGATGGTCACTGACGATGACGACTTCAGTGGATTTGTTGGAACGATACATACACGACTTTATTACTTTGTCTGAGCCTCGATACAAAAAAAGCCTAATGACCTAAAGAGTAATAATGAACAAGAAACAGTAAGATTATACTTGCAATAGACGTACTATTGTCTTGTATATTATTGAAAACTTCATTCACAAGACATTATGGATATTGAGCATCAGAAGGTAGGACAAATCATCGTACTGTCGGCACTTACCTAGTGCTAGGTCTAATAGTTTCTTTTGAAGTCTAAACCAAGCTTAAATTTATTGTCAAAGTCTATTGTGGATGTTAACAAAACTCGATATGCTTTACGTTCTAAACGTTTAAGCTTGGCTTAAATTAAAAGACTAAATGATCTTACTGCATCTTAGATCACCGTGGTTTCGTCTGTATAACGTGATTGTTTTGTGATAGACTACAAGCCGAATGTAATACTTGCAAGACAAACGTTAAATCATTGTTCACTACACATTTGGCTTTAACGATAAAAGGAAAGAAAAGAAAAAAAAAAGGAAAAAAAAAGAAAACGAAAAAAAAGTTATCTGTAGATTTTTCGAACGACTGCAATCTCCGAAAAAAAAAACGATAGTACGTTTCACTTTCGCTCTATCGTAATTCATAAATTTTCCTCGTAATCTATTTGTGTCTTTCACGTTTAGAGCGGAACACATCCTTCTCCTTCTTAGACTTCCAACGAAATACACACATACATTGTTTTTCACATAATCGTTTCTCGATATCTAGTTTCATACGCATACCATCTCGGTGTGAACATTTTTGCATCCTCCTCGATCATTGAATTAGGATGTCCGCTTAAAGCCGACGTAAGATACAAGGTAAAAATGTAGTTAATCAGGAAAAGAGAAATTTTTGTCTTCGTAGTGTTATGATGTAATGTGTAATAGAAATACATTAAGCACACATAATTTATCCTAACATTTAACAATCCCTTTTATCTGGATAATATTTAAAAAAAAATACCGTAAAAAGTACAAGCGTTGCTCATTTGAAAGGTTGTGAAAATTCGTAGTATTCTTATTTTGAAGAATTTTAGATTGTACGTCGGATCCACACTTGTTCATCGATTATAAAATAATATAGTAAACTTTACATAATATATTAGTTTTATTACATAAGATGAAATATTCTTTTTCAAATTACAGGAATGATTTTTCATTTATTTTACTTACACAAGATGCATACAGTAACACACATTATTACAAATGCGAAGACAAAAGATTGCATGTTTGTTGATGTCATTGAGTACATGGCAAATTGTACTGTAAACATGATTTAAATAAAGTTATTGGATGATCGATATATATAACTGTATGTGTGATATACCTCATTGATGATGTAATTAGTATTTTTTCATATTTTATTATTAGTGGAAAATACCATCGGTATGACATAAATATTATGTCGAAAGATTTTACATAAAAATTTTTTAAATGATCAAATTTTCTCAATATTTTTTAATTCCTCTTATACATATGTTTCAGCTCACCGAAATCAGAGAAGGAAGTGACACAATCATTTTGCTTCTACACGTATCGTTTCCTTACTCTACCACGTTTCACTGAATAGTATGCAGAAACAAAAAAAAATTATAATAATAATAATTATTATTATTATATAGCGATGCGTAGTAATAAATTAAAAACATATTTGAATTTATCGAGAATTATAGTTTTAATCTAAATATTTTTATAAAAAGAAAAAAAAAAGAAAAACAATCGATCTAGCCATCGTATCAAATTGTAATTTAGATTTTATTTCAATAGGCTACTTTAAAACGTTGTAATTGTATAATAACATATTGCGTATATGTGACAATAACAAAGTGCACTTGCGTATTGTAAAAACTAAAAAGAGACAACTAGTTAAAGATCGTAAATCTAGTAAGTGAAATGGCTACGATTCGTTAACTTATTTTCTACCTATTTATTGAAGTTTTATTTTCAAATTTTTCGCTAGCTATCGCTAAAGGACCAACTGCACCAGGTTTGAACACCGATGCCTGATGATTTGGAGTTGTTGCTATTGGACCACAACCATCCTTTTGCATTTGAGCAGTCTCATAAAGTTGTTTCTGCATTACAGCCAAGGATACTTTATTTGCAGAGAGGAAATCTTTCATGGAGATCAATTCCCCAGACATACGTCTAGAACCATCGGAATCGTCTTCCGCAGCTCTAATCGAATCTTTACCAACGAGTTTCATAGACCTACGTTTGGAATAATATATAGAAGACACGGATGATTTTCTTCTAGGTAGATGAGGCGCAGCAAGATCTTGATTACCACATTGTAACTTGTTTATCACATAATTTAAACCTTGTTTGATAATTATCGAAGTTACATTCAATAATGAATAAATACAGCAACAGCCGATAACAAGGAAGACAAAATTGGCAAATCTATACCTGTAAAAACGTAAATCAATTAACATTGAAAACGTTGACGAACAAATAAAAAAGTTTCAATATGATTTACATACCAATGGACATATGGATAATTCATCTTCTGTGTACTGACAAAATCACCGAAACCGATGGTGGTAAAGCTAATGAAACAGAAATAGAGAGCGTCGAAGTATTCCCAGCCTTCTAGCGGTGCATAAACCGCAGCAGCAACGCATGCAGTAAGACAAGATGCTAATAAGAGATATAACATGACCCAATAAACGCTTGGTTTCCACTGTTCTAAACTGACTTCGTCGTCATCATCGAGGATATCCGGAAGAGACGATCTTGGATTGGATAACCTGGATACTCGTCGAGAAGATGTCGAACTTTGTCGAAGATGCTTTCTTACGCGGTACAAGTGAATACTTCTTAAAATCCAAGCCAGAAATGTGATGATCCTTTCAAGGAAGAGATTGAAGAACAGGATACCACCTAATAGATCATGAAGAATACTTGTTACATGATTGGAATTTTACTTTTTATTTAACCTTTTTTCTTTTTTATTTATATTGGTTTTTTAACTTTTTAATTCTTTTCTTGTTTATTTTTTTTTTCTTTTCTATGTAGGAGATTTAATGTAAAATTGAAAAATTCAAGTTATATCGAGATACTTCATATATTCACACAAATAGGACATTGTTGTATACCATTTCCTATTTCTTCATGTTATAGAAACTATGCCTATTGCAATTTATACATTGAAGACTCATTCTTTTGTTCTGTATAAATAGGCCAATGTCCTAGTTTGTTTTAACTCAGTGTAGTGTAATATATGCATGCAAGCGTCGAATATAACGGTAAGAATGTATCGAACGATATATTAAAGTAAGAATCTATTAATAGAAATAATATTATTATAATTATTTTTTTTTCTCAATATAATAAATTCATATTTTAACAAAATAATATATTAATTATATTTTTTATATGGCTAAATTGTTACGTTAAAAATGGACCCATAGTAAATCATGTCTATTATTACCAGAACAACCAAAGAATCCATAAAGAACAACAGCTGCTCGTCCTGCCATAGTTTGAGGAGCGGTACTTCCGTATCCTGAAAGAAGATCCAGATTCACACATTGAACCTATTTTCTAAAAATCTTTCTACGAGGGGAATAATCTACATATGTGTACGTGCAAGCGTACATATCGACGGCTAAAGGAGTTGTCGAGAGGGTAAGTACTAGACTAGGTCGCAAGATATTAGCATTCCAGAATTCACCGTGCATTCTCACGCTCGAAGGGGCCGATGACCGTAGTCCTTTTATTCCGTATCATTACGACCACCTTCTAACGCGATAACGTACTAATTGCATGTATTTTATTACAGACATTTTTATATTCATTTATATATGTTTCTTTAAGTAAGAAATTACAATAAGAAGATCGAGCAAAATGTGAAATAAAATTATAAATACAATCAATTTAGACGAATACAAATTTCAATGATAATATCATTACAATAAACAATAATAATAATAATAATAATAATAACAACAACAACAACAATAATAATAATAATAATAATAATAATAATAATAATAATAATAATAATAATAATAATAATAATAATAATAATAACAATAATAATAATTAAACAAGAAAAAAAGAAGATATGATTGGTTATATATATATATAAATATATGTATATATATATATAAATATATATATATATAAATATATATATATATATAAATATACATATATGTATGTATATATGTATATGTTTATGTATATGTATATGTATATGTATATGTATATGTATATGTATATGTATATGTATATATATATATATATATATATATATATATATATATATTTTGAAAAGAAAATCTTTTAAGAGGATTACAAAGCTTAATGAGATGCAAGACGACGCGTCGTCTAGTGACCCCATTTATCGTCGGTCGTTGTACGAGTGCGTTTCAAATGCTTTAAATTCCGAAAAATACTGTGTTATATTTCTTACCAATTGTGGAAACGATGGTGCCTACGAAGTGAAAGCTACCAGGAAAATCCCAACGTCGTCTTTTGTTAATGATACCGGCAGAGGAAGCATTTCCGTAGGCATAAAGAAGTTCGTGTAATCTCTGAAGCGCTAGTGGACTACCACGCAGGTGATGCTTTCGAAAAGCGTGATACACCCGCCAAAATTCTGCAGCCTATATTATGAAATAAACGTAATTGATAAAGGCATCAATTTGTATTTTTTAATAATTTTCATGACAATTTTTTAAAATTTGAAAAATATTATTAAGGACTTATCGAATTTTTATTAGAAAATGAAATTGTGTAACTTGAATTGTAAAACAAACACAATTGATAAAAACTTGAATATATATTTTTGAATAATTTTCACTGAGGATAATTTAAAAATAAAAAAAATTAATTCTAAAATTATTGCCAAGGGCTTATTAGATTTTTGTTAGAAAAAGGATTTTGCAAACTGTACCATGAAACAGACAATCCATAAAACACATAAATTTTTAGTTCTCAATAATTTTCATTACAATAATTTTCAACGATTACAAAATATTTTCAAGAACACATTTCCAATTTTTATTAGAAAGTGGAAGAGAAATAATAAATTATAGAAAATATAAAACTATCTTCTTACCTGTCGTATTTCAAGGTCACCCTCTAGTATTTGGAAAAGAGTCGCGCCTGCGAGCATGTAAGCTGCCAGGACGACAGCGAGGAGGATGAACCTTGCGTTATCCTCCGCGAGGCCTCCGCACACGCACATCACCGGTGACTCTCATCTCTCTGACACCAATGTCCGATGCGATCCCCACTTTTCCTCTTTGACTGGACCGGCGCAAACTCGCCGACAAAATTTTACGATGATCCAAGTATTCGTCATGGTCGAAGGTCACCAATTTAAACTTTTTAATCCCAATTTTTTTGAATTTTCTTTAAATTTTTTCATGATAGCTAATAAGTTATAATTATTTTTATTTTTCACTTTGTTTATATTTATAATAGATTTTTCTAACTAAATATTCTCATTGTTATAAAATATTATCATAGTTTATATAATATTTGTATTGAAAAATAGTAGGAGAAAAAAATTTGTATATCTCTGCCTTTATTTTTCTTTTTTTTTTGCTGAACTAAGAAGCAAGTGCCGAATTGTATTTCAGGACTGAAGTAGATTTAGGGCAATGTCTAGAGCTCCATTGAGAGATAGAATCCTTTCAAAGTTTAAAAATAGGAACAGCGTTACTTCATACTTGCTTATTCACGGAATCGTTTTCACGTAGGTAAAAGGAAAAATCTATCCGTAAAAGTGGCTCAAAGTAAACAATGTGGATAATTAACTAGGTAGAAAGTGAAAGATCGATACTGCAAAAAAGTTCACTTTTCTGAGAGGCTCATTTTACTATATATTCAGGTTTATTTCGAATTAAAAAAAAAAGTGTCTAATTTTAGCGAAGAAATTTATCAACAAAAATGAAAGAACACAGTTTAATAAAAATAGAGTTTATTAACAGTCGATCTAGGCAAGCCAACGGCACTACAAGTTTTACATAAATAGATCGATATTATCACTATAATAATACAACGCTTTCACTTGGAACGAATCCATATGTAAACATATACATCATCATATATAATATATATATAAATCTATAAAATACATAACACATTGGTCATATTAACTATTATAATACTATTGACACGCCATAGGCGTTGGAATATTGCGTAAAAATATTTCTAATATCGTAATCGATAAATTTGCACTTTTAGAACCTTTTCTAATGCCTTGTTTGTGGCCCTTCTTCCAACTTACGCCATACAACCTAGAAGAAAAAAATTGATTATAACTATAATTCATAATTTGTTAATATTTAAAAATAACTTACATTACACATCTCTCGAACAAGAGCCTTCTCGCCGTCGTGTCCACCTTCTCTTTCTAACTGTTCTCTAACTTCGAGAACTTGAAGAGCTCGTACGACAGCCTCAGGTCTACTTCCAATATGAGAATTATCGCTTGGACTGTTTGGATTTTCCCAAACTTCACCTGGCAATGCTTCCCATCCTCTAGCTCTTGCCTGCAGAACACTTTTGTCTTCCTCCAGCTGCTTAACACGTTGTTCCAAACTTCTTACATATTGCATAGTTTGGTCTGTAATCAAGGTAAATCATCCGAATCTTTTTATTCAATCTCAGGTCAGTAGACAGGAATATATGCATTTACTTGACGTTTCATCAAATTAATTTCTAATTTTTTTTACATCGTCATTGTAACCGCCAATCTCGAACAAGGATTTACCGTTAAATGTAGAAGTGTGTCTCGGCCTCGGTGGTGCGGTTTCCTCCGCATTCGTACTCGAACTCGATCCATCCCCGTCGTCCCTCTGAACCCCCCCTCGTTCCTCATCCAAATACAGACAGAGCTCCTTCAGTTCCAGATTATCCTTTATCAACTCCTGCTGTTTGTTGTCCAGTTGCCGCAATTTATTCTGGTAAGCTGATACTTCCTGTCGCATAACGCTGGCTGTGTACCTACCAAATCTTTGCCATTCTCTTGCCAGCTTCCGGCCTTTTTGCCGGTCATCGTCCAGGAAACAGCAAAGATCGCGTAACTCCTGATTGTCGTCGCTGAGTCTTTGGTTGGCCTCCTTCAGCGCACGAAGCTCACTGAGCTGAAAATCAATTGATTTTATTTTTTACTTTTCCTTTTTTCTTAATCTATATAATATAAATTTAATATAATAAATAAATATGGAATAATATAATAAATTAATATAAAATATATGTTATATTTTATTATAATTTATTTTTATAATATAAATTTTTTAAATATTAAATGAATATTTAATTTTATATATTATTATATAATTGATATAATTAATACAAAAAAAAAAAAAAAACAAAACAAATATTCGTAAATCGCCTGAGTATATATTGTCACGTGATATCATTTCGTACCACGTGTCTACAGATAAAAAAATATGCATTATTCGAGGATGTAACATTTGAAACGTGTGACGCATTCTTTCGCGTGTTTTTTAACCGTTGGTTATTTCTTTTTACATACTTGACAAAAAATCTGCCTGTTTTCGTTCACTGTCGATCCTTACGTGTGCGTGACCGGTCGAAATTACGATTGCGAGTTCGACCCGTGTATGACCTAGAAGAGCCTTTCAAAAACTTCCGTATATTGCGTACGGTCCTACTTTTATTCTCTCAACACGGTAACGAAATAAAGATTCAACATAAGTAGTTACAAAATTTGTATTCTTTTATCTTAAGAAAAATATTACTTAAAAATTTTTTATAGAAAAATATCATCCTATATTTTAAATATCATGAAAAAAAAAACATCAATGATAATAGAACGTATGCAGAAAAAAATGAATATGTTTCAATGTCACGTTTATTCGTTGGTACGCTAAATCACGTAATTCAAAGATTTATAAATATTGTTAAGTGTATTATTAAAAATTTTCGAAATATCCATATCGACTCAATTAAAACATCAATTATTTATACTTCGACGAAAAGAGAATATTATCAAACATAGAAGATCGATTAATAAAACATGCGGAAATACCAGCCCCCACGTGGGAAACAGATATACCGCCAAGACGGATTCTCACCAAGCTTTGTATTTGACGATTCTGCTCGGCAGCTAGCCGTGCGATGTCACTCTCTGTCTTTCGCACAAACTTGAGCATCTCCACGGGACCGAGTCTAAGGAACTCCTCGTCGGTGATCCTCTGTCTGCTCGGTACAGGTTGATTGCTAGCACTACTACTGCTACTGATGGTAGGATACTGACTGTTAGGTGGGAGATATTGTCCTTGTCCGATTTTAGTTTGAAGATAAGCCTGACTTTTGGCAGAAGCCGTGGTCGAGGCTGCACCCGTTAAGAGATTAGCAGTAGCAGCAGCAGCACCTTGTGGATGATGCCTGTGTTCTATCCTTGGCGAGTATTTGCCTTGGGCATCCTTCTGCTGAGATGCGTTTCTTGCTTGCGTCGTCTGCTGATGTTGCTGATGGTGATGATGATGATGATGATGAGTCAAGGTCGAGGCAGTACCCTGACCAGTGTTTTGAAGTACCGTGTTGACTGTCGATAGTGGTGGTGGTGGTACTGTAGTGGTACTGCTAAAGTGTGGATGATTCTTCAGGATGCCGCTGGTAGGTTGCGGCGGCGGTTGATACCGCGGTGGCACCTGATCCACTGGCTTGATCACGTGCGATGGACGCTGCTGCTGCTGCGGCTGAGTCTTACTCTTATTGGACATCGCGGCTAATTTAGCTCCAGGCTGCGTCGTGGCCCATTTCAGATAGTCCGCGTCTCCTCCTGCTGTCTTTTCTTTTCCCTCGTCTCGTCTGAACCACGAAAATCTGGGTCAGTCAGACGAACTGGCCTCTCTCTATCTATCTCACTCACTCGATCGGTATGTCCACAGACCTACTACTACCTACACGAGAGGAGGAGACCCCTCTCGAGTTTACCTCTTCGTCTTCTTCGTCTTCTTCTTTCGTTTCTTCTCGCGTCGGATTCGCACATACTACACACTAACAACGTTCTTAATTCCTCTTATCGTCTTCTTTTTTCTTTTGCTCACGATATTACCGTCATTGTAAACGCTTAAGGCGCGGCCGAACTTCTGAATACGACACGCAGCATCGACTCAAAGAATCGCCTTCCTCGTTGCATCGGTGCGCGAACTCTCACAATCTCCTGGTACTACCTTCGCATGCCATCTGTCACTCATTCGACCTTCACGATGCTGCATTCTCTCGTTGATTCCTTCTCTCTCTTACTCTCTCTCTCACTCTCTCTCTCTCTCTCTCTCTCTCTCTCTCTCTCTCTCTCTCTCTCTCTCTCTCTCTCTCTCTCTCTCTCTCTCTTTCTTTCCCACTCTCTTTCTCTTTCTTTAGCTAGTTTTAATATCTCTTCAAACGTTATACTTTTAAACACTGAATTAAAATCTTTCACTATTATTTTTTTTTTATCGTAAAAGTAAATAACGAAATAAAAAAAGAAAATATATTGTATAATATATTAGCACTTATTTTATCTAAGATCACAGAGAAACTTGTGTGTGGATAGTGCCGCGTTCAACGGTGCACAGGCTGGCCCTCGAGACGCGGGGCCGCATTTTACCGTGAGAGTGCACAGTGCCGTATCTTATTCAAGGGGGCACCGATTCCTCGAGAGAAACGTCTTCGTCGTTGCTCCAAACAAGACGAACTTTATCCCAAGAAAAAAATCATATATTGTCTGAACTAACCGATCGAAAGTTCTACATGAAGCTTGAGAAGTTTCGCGTTTACTATTCGCTTGAAATTTAGATTCCTTTTGTATGGTTTCCCTCGTGTTATTAGAGCCGAGAACTCCCTTCGGTAAAGTAGTCAAGTAGGGAGACTCTGTTGAGCCATAGCCACGTAAATGCCGGCTCCGCTGCAACACATCCAAGATGAACTCACGTCCAAGTTGAGTACTAACAACATGGCGGCTACCAAGAAACCTCTTGAACTCCAGGACGCGATCACGCGGATGAGCCCACTGGCTTAGCACGCGGGAATAACCGATCGCCCTCTGGTTGGTTGATTCGTTTGTTTTCGTCAGGCCTAGAAGTGGGGAGAGATCTGAGATTTACTGAACTTTACATCTTCGATCGGCAGTGATGAACGTAACTTTTTTTGTAAAAAATAATCTTCTATGAAGAGAGCGTAGTAAAAATATTTCAATACCGAAGATAAAAAGAATGTTATATGTATTTGTTATTAAAATATTCATTGAAATTGTAAGTAT